TGTTTCACACAAGTCACCACTCGAACGGCTAGTGTGATAAAGTACCCACCGCTCACTTCGATGGATCAAAAACCAATTTTTGCAAATATCACATTTTAATTCAAGAAAGCACTTTAATCACGTAGGAATAGAACAAGCAAGGACACTCACCAAGAGTGGAGTTCAGATATGAAGTTGGAATCGAATTCCGCGTCCTCGCAATACCCTAGAAAACCAGGTTTTAAAACTATAAGTGTTGTTATACGGGTTCTTGGTTTATAAATACAAGGTGATCTGGTACATAACTAGTTTATCTACTCCAAATAAATCAACAATTTCCCTAGAGTTAAACTGATGAAAGTGATGAAATACTTCGTAGGATTTCTTTCTTTCTAGAGGTGCAAACCAGAACCAATTTGCTTTGAATAAGATTTCTTGCCAAACAAGTTTTCTGCGCCGTTTATTTAAAATTATTAAAATCAAGTTTGACCTTTAAAGTACAAATATAACACTTTCAATTTCTATTCAAGTTCCAGGTTTATAACTATAAAGGTTTATCGAGTATATAACTAGTTTATCGTTTCGAAGTAAATTCAAAGATTTACTTAGGGTGAAACTTGGCAAAAGTAGTAAAAATGTTTCTTGTAGTTTTCCTTATAAAAGGTAATTAGTATTATTTTCTTGAGATAAATCGACAAACCACTTAATATCAAAACTAGAAAGATACTTCGAAAGATTTCTTTTAAGCTATGGTTCTTGTAAAAATTGTCACTAAAAACTATTTTATCTAAAATAAAGTTTCTTGCTGAGCAAGTTTCTACATTTTTAATTAAAGCTATTAAAACTCTTATTTTGGAACTTTTCCTATAGTTAACTATCCAAGTGCAAAGCTTAAGGAAAGAAAAGGAATTAAAATAAGACTTAGAGTTTTCAAAAGCTATAGAACTTATTTACTATAGCTATCAAGGCTAGTTTGAGCTAGAGAGAATTATCGGGTTGGAAAGGTTTAGGCAAAACACTAGATATTGAGTTTTATAATATAATACTAGCTGGAAAATATTTGTTTGAGTACTTTGATCACAGTTACTAGAGTTCGCAAGGTCGAAAAGACTTTCACAGTTTTTGATTCCATTTCGCAATCATATTATGGATCAAATATGGCAAAATCACATAGCAAATCACTAGGGTTTCGTCAATCATTAGCCCTAGATTTCAACAATTGCATTTCTGATAAAAAATAAATTGAACGACCAAGGCTTCATCAATCATTAGCACTTGGTTTCAGCAAGCCCATCATAAGCAAATAAAAATAAAAGTAAGGCCTCCAAGACATTCCAGCAATTAACTTTCATCATCCAGTAGTACTTATAAAGTCATTCAAATGGCCAAGGGCTTCATCATCATTAGCTCTTGACAACCAATACACACTTTCAAATACCAATTCATTCAAAACAAGAACAAAAACTACAACCAACTTGAGATCCAAATGATTCCAAGAATCTAAAATATCCATTAAACTTTCCACTTTTATTTGCTAGAATCACTATACATATAGATTATAATCTGTCCAAACCAAGCTAAAGTAAATAATACACAAATCCAGCAAATAAACTCACCAAAAGTCCCAACCAGTTCGGTCATGCTGGAAAAATATTTTCCTTCAAAAATTGCTTTAGTTCATGTTCCACAAATCAAACAGTTATGAAAATTATACTGTTGTAGAATAGATTTTTAATACTATCACATCCCAGAAGACACTTTTCAGAGATTCAAATCACAAATGGGCCAAATATTCTATCCAAGTCAAGAATTCAGTTTCCTGAGGAAACAGGACATTCAAACAGGACAGCCTACTTTGAGGAATCACGGACAGCAGTACACATGGAGGAAAAATATGAAATTTCTACAAAACAAAGGCCCATGACTCTAGTTTCAAATGCCACTGACGGCACCTCAATCGGATTTTCCTACACCAAGATATAAGCATTTTACTGAGACTGGTCAGAGAAATCCGAAAATCTGGAAACTCATTTTTCACTTGTGAAAAACTCCTTTTCCTCTTTTAAAACCATAATACTCTTATTCAAATCATCATACATTTAAGTATGATATTCATACCAGCATATACCAAAGCAAATAACGCTTAATTCCAATAAATTATTCCACCAAAAAGTCCCCATAAATCTGTCATCAGCTAAGATAAAATTTGCCAGCAATTGATAGTTTATTTATATAGCTTTTGTTCCTAGTTTTCTTCAATTCTTACCTCAGCTCAACATGCAACAGGTGATTAGCAAGCCTCAAGCAAATCTTAAACAGCCAATACGAAAATCTGAATTGAAATTCGAAAACAAAACTAATTAAATGCTCACTTCCTTCTCTCGACCAAGCTGGAATATTTTGCAGCAGAAAATTTCCCTCGGTTTCAATCCACAATTCAACTTTTCCTCAGATTTTCCTCCATTAAACTTCACTTAATACTTAAAGCTAATAATCTATATGCAATTTATAACAAAATTTTCCATTTGACAGCAATTACAAATGCAAACAAACATGAAGTCTCTCGGCTATTCCAGAAAATTTCCAGCAGCTAAGTTAGACGCAAATCTGGAGTTTCTTCAGCTAAAACCTTGTATTAGGTACTCAAAACCAACATGCATGACTAATTAGTGGAATTACTATCAGCTCTGGTTTAAATCAAGTTCGGACAGCAACTACTATCATCCACAATTCCAGAATTTTGTTCAACCATTCTCGGATGCTCTTGCATGCAGCAAATTCTTTTGTTACATCCTTATTTCTTGCTTAGCCGACTGATTAACCTCATGCAAGACTTAATCATCTGATTTTTACTTAGCTAATTACATTTATGAGCTCAGATTGTTCAAATAAGCAGATTAAGGACTGCATTTTCTGAACAGGCTCTCGGCAAAACCATCTCCGTTAAAATCAGATTTCTTATTCTTTGATTTTATCGTCAAGTGCTTAACCATCACATGCAAGCTCTTAAACAACTCATTTATCTCTAATTAGCTAGTCTAGGACCAGAGTTTACCTCAGCTTAAGGTTTAGCTCACACGACAATCAGCTGCAAAATTTTCTTCCTCTCGGCTATCCAGAAATTGCAGCCCGCAAATCTTCCTCCCCTTTGCTCAAACTTGCGGCTGGATTGGATGAAGTTTGGCTCTCAGATCTCTCCATCAACTCACGGACAAACCAGAAAAATACTTCAGCTCGCGGTTTTCCTCCTTTTCTTTTCTTGTCGATGATACCGAAGCTACGTCCCTCTCACTCTCCTTTCCTTCGATGGTCACGAGGTGGGGTGAAGTGAAGATGATTCGTGGGTGGAGGAGGTTGAGTTGTGCAGAGGAAATGAGATTTGGTGAAGAGTGGTATCTCGGTATCAAGAAAGAAATGGTTTGCGGTTTTGTTTGTGCAGAGAAGGAAAGGAAGTTGCGGTTTGTGTTTGTGATATGAAATGTGAATTAGAGTGAATGGTTTTGTGGTTTTAGCCGTGAGATAGAAAGGATGGTATTGTGGTGCCGCGGTTTATGAGAATGGTTTGCGTGTAGAAATGGGTTGCGTACAAAATTGGTAATAGCTGCGTGATTTGATTTGCGGTCAGAGGTTCCGTTTGGTTTGCATGGAAAGGTAAGGTAGGGTTATTTTAGTCTTTTCACTTTGCTCCCAATCTCAACTTAATTTCTCAATTCCGACTTAATTCTAAAAATTATCCCAAGTGCGATTTGAACGCCTAATTATACCCTAATATACCTAAACCATTTTTTTATCGAATAATTATCGATTAAACTTGAATATTAAGGTTCCTAGTAATTCTTATATTATTTAGCGATTAAATTAATTATTAGAATTTCCAATTATTATTTCTCAAGAAATAGGGTTAGTCTAACTCGAAATTTATTGATTTAGTAATATAAAGTCAAGTGAAATAATAATTAAATCCAAGGTGTCAATTTGCACATAAAAGTATTTTTACGCACTTATTGCGAAAACAAAGAAAGATAAGGATATATTTATCGAATTTTCACGCATTAAGTATGTTTAGTATATTAGAATCATATTTATCTAAAATTCATTGGTTTTCATCTTAACGTGGAAATTCCTATTAACATTTAACATTATTAACGATTAAAACTAGTTATCGGAAATCAAAGAATTTATTTTAAAGTAATAGAATTAATCTAACTCAAGAAATATTAATTTAGTATAGCAAAACCGAATAATTTAATATTGGCACAATTATATTATTTATTACATAGAAATTATCTTTACACTTTTATTTCAAAACAATTAGTTACAATACTAGAATTCAAAGTAATTAATGATTAGATCAATGAAATAGTTTACCATCGAAATATGAAGTTAATGTAACAAAACTAAGAAGTTTAGTAGTTTAGCACAATTCTTTTATTTTGCACATAACGTTTAATTCTACATACTTATTTAAAAACAATTGGACTTCGTGCTAAAATTTATTAAAGAATTAAAATGCAAAAAAATGCACTGATATTTATATGTCTATTTTCAGGGTTCTCACAGTCTCTCGTTGGAACAAGTACCAAAAAATTACTCTGACCAACACCTTTTCACACCTATTGCGAGTTTATTGCACTTCGTAACTTTCCCCAACCGCCAACTACACCATAAATTCCAATTACTACCTGAAACCTTAATCACAAAAACTCACTCTCTATGGACTGTTTGTGCATCCATTGTAGTTCAAACTGAACCTCTCACCGTTTGATACTCATTTGCATCACATCACACAACACAAACCACACTACACTTCAATCATAGTGAGAATTAGAAGGGGATCCGTGAGTGCCGAACGCATTTTCAAGCTGCGTGATGAAGAGGAGGAAGATGTTCAAATTGTTGAACCCTCCATCAAATCACCCAAGAAAAAAACTGGAAACCAAGGTGGAAAAACGAAACAATCTGCAAGAAAAAAGCAGAATGTGCAAACTAGAGAGCCATCTGCTGAACCAACTGATGAGCAGATGGAGGGACAGCAATCTGAAGGGCATCCAGTGAGCGACAATGAAGAGAAACCTATACAGCCCACCAATGCAGATGTAGCAGTAACCAAATCTCCCAGGAAAGGAAAAATGACTGTCAAAAGGAAGAGCATTGCTCATCCCAAGGAAAAGCAAACTGTTGATCCTTCCTGGGATCAGCAGAATGCAGAGAAAACTGCTGAAGAACAACAAACTAAGGAACCATTTACCAGGAGATTACCAAGGACAAGGTCTGGTGTCCAGAGTACTGCGCAAACTGCTCAGCGCAATGGAAAAAGAAAGCGTCCTGAGCAGCCTGAGACCCACACTGTTACTGAACCCACTCCTCTACCCAAGTTCATCGACGATGAAGCCAGAGAAAGGTTTGAATGAATCTCGCAGAAGGGCTTCATCACCCAGAGGATCATTATCCCCTACGAATTTCGTAAGCTTGATCTTGAACCTATTCTCAACCTGTTTGAATTCTAAAAATGGACCCATCTTTTAACCATTCCAAACACATACTATCCTGACATGCTCCATCAGTTTTTTGCTAATCTTAGAAAAGGCAAATCACATACTGATCTCATTTCTTGTGTCAACTCTGTTAACATTGAACTGAACCCTGACATTGTTAACTCTGTTTTAGAAACCAAAATTGAAATTGGTTTTAAAGGCAAAATTACAAATTTCTTTTCTTACGAAAAATTTTCCTCTGCATACCATCACTTTCATGTTGCAAAATTGATGACCTATTTCAGTCTCATTTTAATACTCCTGCTGAGGCAAGATTAAAAGATCTTAGTCCTCAAAACCTGATCATCTTTACCATCATTTCAAATCTGTTGGTGCCCACTGATGGTCACAGAACTGATGCAAATAAAATGGAACTTTATCTGTTCTACTGTTTTCTTGAAAAAATTAGAATTGATTTTGATTTTGTCATTTGTAAATTTCTGCTAAAAATCAGCACTGACAGCCGTAAGAAACTATCCTATGGAAAATTTTTGACTCCTATTTTCCATCATTTTGAAATTCCTTTCATTGGCAAATCTCCAAAAGAGAGTGCATCAACTGTGTTTTCAAAGATTTATTTTGAAAGGAAAAATCTGAAATTTTTTTAGGGTCATTGGTGCTACAAAGAAACTGTCTCTGAGTTTAAAAGGAAAAATCTTCATGAAACCCCTGTCACCTCTAGGATTCCTCGTGACCAGTCAATGTATGTGACACCCTTCACCATTCATCCCAGAAAATCAACCTCTAAATTTTCTTCATCCAACCTTGAGGTCATCACTCTGCTTGAAGACCTCAAATAACATATCCTGCTTCTTGAAGATGGCTTGGTGATAACCATGACTTCTGTCAACAAGCCACCTTCGTTGCCAAAATGAATCTGCTCGTACCTCCCACTCCTTCAGAAAATGAAAATGCACACCGAAAGGAACCTAGAACTGAGCCAACCACTAAGACTACCCCAGAGTACCTTGCCTCCAGTTCTCAACCACAGGACAAGGAAAAAGCTCCGGTAACTGAAGAGGAGGATGATGATGATGGGGATGAGGACACTGACGAAGAAGACCCTGCTCAGTTTCGTCTGACTAGAAGAAGGCCTGGATTCTCCAAATTCACATTTTAGGCACCCCTAGGCACATGCACCTCATGGTAGTTCATAACAAGCTCTTGGCATCCCTTGTGTTTCAAACTTTATGTATTTTGTATTAAGACTTCTACTTTCCCTTTTACTGCTGGTCTGTAAGAATATTTGGATATTTTGTGTGCTTTGATATTCCTATGCTTATTCCCTTTTTCATTTGTTATTTCTATGATTTTTGGATGAATGTTTGGCACTTAATATCTGATATTATTTGTTGCTGGATGATATTGATGGTAATATGGCCATGGTTGATTTTTATGATGACAAAAAAGGGGAGAAATGGTTGGATATGAAGTCTCTATGTGAGGGGGAGTCATTTTTTTCTGAGTAAATATGGGGTGAACATTATTCTGAAGGAGAGTTGTACTTAAATTTTGTACTTAAGCTAAAAGGGGAGATGCATTAAGTAAGGGGAAGCTGTACTTAATTTTTTGCTCCATCCATTGTTTTGTCATTATCCAAAAGGGGGAGATTGTTCATCTCAGTCCGTATCTTTTGATGATTACAAAACAAATGGATGTTACTAATATTCCCTAAATAGATGTTTTTAGATTTGGAGCAAAACAGGTTAACATGTACTGAAGCTTGTGTCGGACGCACAAAAAGTCTACTTCGGCAGTCCGACAACCTTCGTGTAAATTCGGACACATAAGGAACTCACTCTCGGACGTCCGAAAATAATAAGCCAAGTTTCCTAAACTCACTAATTTCGTTCAGACGCACAACACCTAAGTACCGGACGTCCAACAAACGTTGCGACACTTCGGACACAAAGCATTGAAGCACGGACATCCTAAACATTTCAAGAAAACTTCTTGAACTCACTGTCTGCGATCGGATGCGAAAAACTAGCCTATCGGACATCCGACACCATCGACGGCTAGTTGACTCTTCAACTGCCTTCTATCCATTGACAGTATTAATTGAAACATTTTTTGGTCTCCTATAAGTAGAGCAAAGTCAACTTACTCTAGAAACTTCAAATATACTTTGCACAATGAGACTACATCAGATCTTGAGTGATTCAAGTGTGCGAATACTCTAGAAAGAAGATTTGTACTCTTAGTTGTGGAACTTTCAATCAGCTTTTCAAGTGTGTTTCTATTTCTTCAATAGTGTAACTTTGTGAGGGTTATCCGAGTGATTGTAAAACCTTCTTGCTTGACCAAGTGCGGCTTGGGTCAAGGAGGAAGTGATCATTTCTTTGTACACAAGAGAGAACTCAGATTCAAGTGGAGTTTGAAACTTGGTTTGCTATTCTATCCTTTTATTTACTGTCTTGCAATATAAACTGTTTATCTCTTTTACTCCTAAGCATTTGTGCTTTCTCATCATTTGCTCCATTGTGTGGTCTTTTAGAAAAAGGGGGCAAGTTCTCAAAAAGTGACACATATCTTGGTCAATTTTTAAATCACCTAATTCACCCCCTCTTAGGTTGTTCTCGATCCTTACACTTATTTTTTTGTTGGCTGCATGGTAGTTCAACCGAAACTCAAGGTTGATTTGGTCTTTCAATTTTAGCTCATTTGCTTGCTAAGGCTATAGTTTTATTATTTCATACATTAACTCCTGACTTTGTTTGTGTTTTCTTGAAAAATTTCTTACATTAATATAGTAGATTTCACACATTTGATTATAAAGAAATTTAACTAGATGTGTAACTTATTCAATTATATAATATATTCAAATGACATAAATTACAATATGCATATCATATGTTTATTTGATTCATATAATTTTTTTCCCTACATCATTCTGGGATATTTCTAAATTCTCAAATTTATAGAAATTCAATTAGATATTTAATTTAACCAAATATTTGTTATATATAATATTTCTAAGAACAAAGTAAATAACATGAAATAAATTCAGGGCTTCACATAATTTTCTCAAATTCTCACAATAAGCCCTGTTGCTCATGTCCAATTTGTAAGACAGATGTTGAGTCAACTTTGCATGCAATTCGGAATTGTAAATGGATATGTGATATTTGGGGAAGTTCGTAAGACCAAACAAATGGGAGGAGTTCTTGAATATGCCTTTGCAATAGTGGCTGGACTGGAATTTGAAGGATGGAAGGATTGAGGTAGGAGGGTTGACAGAGTGGCAAAGTGATATTCCAACATATAGTTTACATGGCATGGGCTACCATAAATACCTTTTGTGCTACAGGAGATGCAACTAAATAAAAGACTAATCATAAAGCCATTTGTGAGAGGTGGAACAAGCGAAGCTACATTGCTCAGGGAAGGAAGTGCCACAAGAAGGGAGGTGAAACATGTTAGATGGGAAAGACCTCCAGTTGGTTGGTGAAGATGAATATGGACGGAGTAGCAAGTAAGGGACACGGAAAGCGGGGCAGGAGGAGTTCTTAGGGATAGCTGGGGTCGATGGGAATCTGAATTTGTAATGAGTGTGGGTTTTGCAGATAATATATCAGTAGAGTTATGGGGAATGCTTAAGGGATTGGGGCTGGCATAGGCTTCGGGACCGAAAAAAATAATACTAAGATAGATTCAAAAGCTGGAATTGAGCTTGTTAGAGCAGTGGGTAGGGAGTCTCTTATCACAACATAGTTTGCCAGATCAGGAGTTATGTCAATGGGGACTGGGAATGTCATCATCAGCATGCATGGAGAGAAGCCAATGGTTGTGCAGATTGGCTTGCAAAATGGAGCATTGATCAGGTGCCAAGATTGTTGCTCATAACAAACCCGCCTGGAGAACTTAGGGTGTTGTTAGGAATGGATATTGTTGGGGCTGCGACCCCACATCTAGTTTCTGTTTAAGAGGCTCGGGCGCTCCCCTTTTAACGGAAAAAAAGGAGCAGGAGGGAGTTAAAGAAAGTTAAAGGTAGTAAGACATGAGCAATTGCTATGAGGGAAAGGTAAGAAAAAAAAATGTAATTTTGGAGAAGAACTTGCAAAGTTTATAAAGGCACAAAATGTTGCCCAGTTTGACTAGGGAAAGATTAAATCCACACTCTCCTGTCCTAAATCTACATCATAACCATAATATGACACTTAAGTCCCTATCAATTAATAACTTTCACTTATAATCGTTTAGAATTATCATTTCACACAATAAAAACAAATTGACATAAGTGATAGGGTTTCGATTATTTCCTAATTTTCTTTTAATTCATCCTTATTCTTTTTAATAATTTACACTACATTAAGCGTTTTTAAACAATTATAAACTCATGAAACCAATCAAATTAGATCATAGAGTTAAGAGATCATAGGTACTACAAAAAGTGTTTACTATACAAATAATTTCATCATTTCAATGTGATAGATATGCATCCTGTAAAAGAAACTAAAAAGAAAGGGAACATCTAGTGATTCATGAATTTGGTACAATGTTTGATAAACAACCAAAACCTCGAGTGGGTTATACATAAATGTCAGATGACTAGAAATTTTTACAAGAAACATTAATAGTATGATAATTTTGATTGTTATAATTGAGAAAAATAATACACATTACACATCTTATAAGCTCAAAATTTCTCTAAAATCATGAAATTTTGTTGAAAACATTTAAAAGACACACTAGCGAATAAATGGTTAATAGAATTGTTCTAAGCAAAATGTAGTGTACAAAAAAAAGAATAAATTTAGAATTGCAAAACATTAGAAGAAAAACCATTAAATACATATTAAGAGTCTTAATGTCATATTGGTCTTTAGGGTGTGGAATAGGATGCACGGGTGTGAATTTAACCCCTTCGATATTTATTAAAGTAAATTATTTCAAAATAACAATGTAAGAAAGGTCTATCCTCTAATAAAATGCAATTTAATTTTCAATTTAGTGATTACAATTTTGGATGGTTTTACTTAGACATGTCAATAGGTAGGGTTTGAATTGGATCCTTTTGATCTAGATCCAAACGTATTAAATTTAATTAGAGCCAAACCCACATCCAGATTCTTATGGGTCTGAAAAAGTAAATCTAGACTCGGATCCTCATGGGTTTGGATATCCAATGGATATCCATGGATATTTTTTTTGAACATACAGTGAAGAACTAAAGTAAAAGTACTTTAAAAATATATAGAGTTCAAAAATAACAAAAACACCATCCAGTTTTTATTTTCAAATAATAAAGTCAAGAAGTTGAATGCAATATTATGAATTTAAAGAAAAAACCATTATCAGCTGCTTTTATTTATTTTCAAAACTTCTTCTGCATCCACATTCAATCTTTTATTGTTTACTTTACTTTTTCTCCTTTTTCTAAAAAAATTTGTATTAATTACAATGACAACTAGAATTAGTTTAAAAAAAACAGTAATAGCACATATAAATATTTGGCCTTATTAATTTACTCACGTGCATGTGTGTATATATATATATATATGTTATTATATATAGATCTTGTTTGGATCTAGATTTGAATATGGATCATAAAAAATCAAACCCCACCCAAATAGTGACTCAGTCGAACTAAGGGATCAGGGATCAATGGGTTCGACTGATTGAGTTAGGGTCTAACCGAATGACGTAATAATGACGTTTTATATATTTTAATTATATATAAAAATAAAATTAAAAATTGCTTATTTAAATATACTAATAAAATTTTTCACCCACGTATCTTGTACATGAAGCTCATGAAATACAATCAATCTACAGGCATAATAAATGGGATTTTGTAAATAGAAGATAACGATCAAATTTTATGTTTCACAACCTTAGTGTTTTTTAAGTTCAAATACATATTAATGGGTCTAGAACTTTACAAGACTGCAACCTTGAGCAATATCAGGAAACATTTGCAAAAATGCAAAAACTTAGGTTTCAAATGATAATCAAAAAGAGTTTTGTATGTATATTTATAATTATGTAAAACAACAAGGGGTCAAATTGAAATATAAGAAAATTTTAAAATAAAAGACAATCATCTATTCTTTCTTCTTCTCCAGTTCGAAACCAACGCCACTAGGTTTGCCATTTTTATCACTTTTCGTCTTTTCT